TAACTCACATTTTACATATAAAGCCATTCCTTCCCCTCTTTAATACTCTATCCCTATTAAATAGCCTATAACCCTGTATTTCAAAAACATTTCTGTCATCAAAATCATCTACGTTGGTTTACGTTTCAGTTATTCCAATTGTATCAAAATCTTTCATTCCCACCAGTGGTCTAAAGTCATCTATTTTATTTCTTATATATGAACTTCTAGCATTACAATAGTAACAATTAAGCTCACTCTTATAACTATTTCTATACTAATTTCCTATGCCAGACTGTTCTCTGCCTCTTATTCTTTTTGAATTTAGTTTATCCTGGCCCTCACCACTGTCTAGTCCTAGTTTAAAACTTCCCTTACAACCGAGTTAATAGCTGTAGTAAACAAGCCAGCCCCTATCTTATTTAAATGTAAACCATCTATTCCAAAAAGCTCCCTTCTTCCAATGAACTTATTCCACAAGTCTAACCAGCCAATCTACTCATCCTTACATACTAACTTAAGCCTAGCATTTAGCCCCAGTGATCTACTTACAACATCATACCCACCGTTAATTCTCAGCAGTATCCCTAACAAAATTAAGGTCTTTTGCTTTAAGTGTTTTTATCAACCTCTAGTACTTATCAATTAGCTCCTCTAAACTACCTTTCCCTACATCATTAGCCACTAAATGCACCACAAAAACTGCAACTCTTTACTATATCTCCTACTCTCTCAGTTATATCCTCCACCTGTGCCCCTGGGTAGCATAATCCGATTATTTTCTCCCTATTTACCTCACAGACTATTCTATCCACATGAACTGTCAAGGAATCACCTATAACTATAACCTCGTTATCATTCAAATCCTTCTCTGACCCTTTTGTTTCCCTTACCTCCAATAGATCCTCATCTGCAGAAGCCAAGGGCTGAAATTTGTTGCTCAATAGAATAGGCTCATTACAATTAGATCTAATAGTTTGAGTTTTAGCTCTAATAGTACTCTAACTTCCTGAAAGTCATTGTTAACTGAAGTATTCCTTGAATGTAAAAGTTTAATAAAACCCACTCATTGCACCCATAACATCTAAAAAACTGTGAACACTTAACTCCTACACTAGTCTTAACCATTGTATTTATACTTATAGCCTGAAAATATAAATACTCAATATCAAATACTAGTAACCTATTGTCAACACTGTTACTGTTAAGCCTAATGTTTAAGAACCAATTATATTATAATTTTTTTTATTACTAGTTTATCTTCACACTAAAGTAATAAAGTTTATCTTTAATAATATAGAACTTAGAAATAGAACTTTACTAGAAGTGACAATAACTAGTCTTTGATGTACACGTAATGTTAATAATACAATATATTTAGCCTGATTTATATTATAACCTACCTATAACTATAGGATGAGTTTAAATTAATGGATCTAAGTTCAAGTAAACAAGTTACTCCTTAAAACATGAAGAACAATAAACTAGTTTTTAGATTGTATTTATTTAATAAAAACAATGTATTTAACCTGTTTTATGATTTACCAGTAAGTTGAAATATACCTAAGCTTAAAATACTGTTACACATACTAAGTCTTCAATGTTATAGTAAAATTTACACCACTAAACTCTAAGTTAAAACTTTGCCCATTTTACTTTTATTTAACAATCTTATTATATCTAGTTATTCTTGTCAATAAAATCATAAAATTATACATTTAAAATAAGTATTCAAAACAATATTGCTAAAGAAAAATGAGCAGAAATGGGTTTTTTCAGTGAAATGAAAAACACTGCAATACATACCAATAGTAGTGAGGGAGTGATAAAGCTCCATAGTGAATGTATAAAGAGGCACATCATCAGAAACACTTAGGATGGCAACTGTTGCAAAATTACAGCCAAATGGACGGGAACCAATAGTTGCAGCCTTGCCTTTAAACAAAACAAAAAAACTGACAAGACTGATCATTCCAAAAAAAATGGTAGCCCTGTTCTGAAACAGATTAATATATTCTGTTCTGTGCTTAAGCTTGTGTAAAACTACTAGAATTAGCTGTACCTAGCTTTTGAAGTGATAAACTAAAAGGAATGCAGCTGCCAACTCTTGGGCTACTTTTATCAATGAATATTGGGATTGACCATGACTTTATAACATCCCCATAGCTGAAAGATCAAGTATGTTCACTGACAGGATCCAAACCTGCAACCAGCAGATTGTGAGTCAAGTGCCCTAACCACCTGGCCATGTTAGCCTGTATATACTTCTGCAGTCTACTTTTTCTTTTCTTTTTTTGCCCAGAATAATTAAACACAGATAATGCTTACAAAAAAGTGAACATGTTTTAAAGTAAGTTCAACAATTATACTTACTTACTTGTATACCTTTATTAAGCAAATGAAATAAAGATATGAAAATTATTTTTTAATTTACAGAAGTTCATACAAGGTTATAGTTTTGTATTTAGTTACACTGTGGTTTAACTACCATCAAGTGTGGTTGGCTATATTCTATATTTGTGTAGGTAGAAATGAAAAAAGAACAATTATTATAGAAAGTATTACAAAATATCATGTGTATATTTACAGAGTTTTATAATTACAACAATACATAATGCTTACATAAACACTAAAAACAAACAAAATAATACATCTTAAAGACACATTTAAACAACATTGCAATAGATTGGAAGCCTGATTTCACATTTCTGGCCCCAAAAATTTAAGCAAAGCAACTTTTTTTTTAAAAAAAAAGACTCATGTAGATGCTCCAGTGAGGTATGGTCAAGATTTGGGGACCTCAAGTTGTATTGAACAAATTTCTTGAAAACTGGTAATAAAATATATAGAACTGTTAAAAATGAGAGTATGAAAACATATTTAGAACATTTTCAAAACTTGAGTTCCCATATGGAGGTCAAAGGGGTTTTGGAGAAGTTCTTTGGGCTAAATCCATTGTTTTACATGAAAATTGTCATGGATATGTAAGAAATCATTCAAATTATCTAAATTTGGATTTTCAAAAATATTGACATTCACGAATCAAGAAGGTTTTGGGAACTCTAAGGATTGAATGTATGGATTTAATTTAAATGTAAATGGTCATTCAAATAATAATGTACAAAATTATTTATGTATTTTTTGTTTTCCATAACACTTTGGACTAATTTTTAAAGTAACAAACTAAGATAGGATCCCCTATTGCCACAGGAATAATTTATTGTGCATGACACAAGGTTTTAGTGTCTTACATTCAAAATTTTATTAAACTATTTTTTGTTTATGTTATACCAATTAGAATAGCATAAAATCTTAGCTAATAATCCATATTTTAATAGTATACAAGTTCTAAGTTCTTAATATTAAAAAGAATCCTGAATTTTCACTAGTGTGACCAACATGACACACTTTCTCTTAGCATGTCATTATCCCTATTTATTCACCACCCCTCGAAAAAGTACTAAATTAAATGTAAATTACTCTCCATAAAATTGTTATTGCTCAGACAAACCATAATTTTTATAGCCTTCCATTTTGTTTGGTTACAGAGCTATCGAATAGAAAATCAGACCCCTCCTGCCACATCCTTTCTTTCACAATTCGTTGATAATTCTCTCTTACGTTTCATTATATATTACCTATAACCAATAGAAAGTCAAGGTATTCATCTATCAAATGATGTATTGCATAATGTTATGTTCTGAACAGTATTTCACTCACAGTAATAACATCGTTCCCATAGGAAAGTTAATGACTAGCTTGGATGAATTTGTAACGGCTCTTCGCATAGTTAGAAAGCTAGTAAGTAAATTTGTCTCCTTTTTGTATGTTATTAGTCTATATTCTTTGGTGCATTATTTTAATTAAATAAAAATTATTAAGTGCATTACAATCTATAATATAAAAACTAAGGTTAACTCTCTTTGAACGTGAAAGAACAAAAGAAAAAGAAATACTAATTATTATTTATCTATTTTATTTCATGTTATTATTTACTTTATATTAATTAAAATTAAAAGTAAAAATTA